CTGGCAAGCAAGTGTCTACACTCTCCCTCTATCCCCTTCCTGCTCCTGCCAGCACAGCTTCAGCAAGCTGGCATGCTAGGGCTGGAGGGTCCTGACCACAGCAGTCTGCAAACCTTCCTGAATCCTGCCAGCAACTGTCCAGCTGCTCCTTGATGGCCCTCCTGTTCATGGCGGATGCTTCAGGAGGTGAGTTGGAAGTATATGACACAGAGCCTTCAAGCCTCAATATAGGCCATGGGTTGTAGGAACTATGGGTATCCATCACATGCTCCAAAGGCTGTCCTCTGTGTGTGTCAGCAAGGCATATACATGCTCAGGCCATAGCCATCCGTGCCCTCTCTTAATCCCCACTCTGAATCTCTAATGGGTCTTTATATCCTTGACCTTGAAGCCCAGCATGGGGATGGGTGAGCGTCCTGTGAGCCCCACTAGGGAGAGAAGGGTTTCTAAACTGCCTCTAGGCAGGGTCCAGGGCAAGTGCCCCTGAGGTGTGCAGGTAAGGCCCCAGGACACAAAGACCTCAAGCAGGAGCCTAGAGGCAGGAACTGGAGCAGAGACCACAGAGGATCTCTGCTCACTGGCTTGCTACTAATGGTTCACTATGCTTGATTAATTTTATACACCCCAGAACCACCATGGGCAGACCCTCCCACACCAATTACTAATCAAGAAGATGCCCCACAAACAAGCCCACAAGCCCATAGACCAATCTGATGAAGGGGTGTTTTCAGCCGAGGTTCTCTCTTCCCAGATGACTCCAGCTTGTGTTGAGTTGACAAAAACTAACCAGCACAGAGGGCAAGGGCAAGGAAAACACAAAGACATCCCACAGCTCCGCAGTCTGTTTTTCATCTTCTAGAACAACCAGATTGGAGCAGTGACCTGAAATGCCATCAGGTCCTGCTACTGGTTGATCCATTTCAGTCATCTCTGGCCAGATCTGACCCTAGTGACAGCCACACTTGTATTCCGCTAGTAACATCCCACTAGTCTTGCCTGTGTCCTCTTTGGACTTGTAGATATTCATTCTTCTCTTGGCAGACAGAACAAGATGTGCTTTGTAACTATCATGCTCTCCCCATTGATCCCACATGGAAACACACCACTTAGAAGTAATGAAGGAGACACCATTAGCTGTGATCGACTGATCAAAACACACAGATGGCGTGACCACCAATCGCCCCTTAATCTTGATGATGCAACTTGTCATACTACATCTAAGAGGACTCAGACACCCTCAGGGCAGGAGCTGCCCCAAGCCACACAAGGTGGAAGATGAAAGCTCAGTAGAGGTATGGTGCAGGCACAAAAGTCTTTCTGTGGTAATGAATCAGTCTCTGCAATACTCTTTTCTTGAGGAACTGTCTGAACTGGGTAGCTCCCCACCCAGCACACATGTTAATATCTTCCACCTCCCCCACATTCACCTCAGAACAGCATTGTGTTACAGAGCATGACAATGCAGCTTTCTAGTATGGTGGCCCTGGAATTAGAAGGATGCGCCTCTGTCTCAAGATGTTTCCTGGAGAGACTAAAAGAAATGTCAGTTCCCTCCAGATAATGAAGGCATTGACCAACCAAAGGAAATACTCTGTCTGTGATGGTTAATCTTGATTGACAGTTCAAAAGGATCCAGAATCAACTAAGACTGATTTCTGAGTAGATCTGGAAGGCATTTCCAGGGAGGATTTGCTGAGGGAGAGGGAAGATCTTCCCCCAGATCAGGAAGCATCTTCTAGGGAAGCCTGGGTATGAGGAAGTCCAAAGGAAGCAGAGCTGTTTGCCTGTCTGCCTCTGCATCTTATTGGTGAGTGCCATCGGATGCTGGCTTCGTTAGCTCTCCAGGAATCCTCCAGACCTTCATCATCAGGTAAGGATGCCGAAGTGTCCAGCTTGGTGGACTGAGCAGCTACTGGGTTCTTACCTTCTCCAGTTTTCAAACAGCTACTGTTGGACTACTCAGTGCCAACCATGAAAGCTAGTCAGTCTAGTGAAACACTCTCGTACTACATCGGTTCTGTTCCTCTAGAGGACCTTGACTAATGCTCTATCCAAATATGACTTGCTGAACTAATTAGTTAACTGGGGCTACTTACAGGAGCATGGGTAATTCATAGACAGCTCTGAGATGCCCTACCTCTTATATCATGGTAAGTAGAGTCTCAGGGACCATAAAGGGCCTCTCAAGAATCCCACGAATCTCTAATCCTCCCCTTCCTCCATGATGGAGTGCTTACAGTCCACATCTTATGAGGGTCTCATGCAGCTGCATCTTATGAGGGTCTCATGCAGCTGCATCTTATAAGGGTGTCATGCAAGTAATGAGAGATGTGCTGCTTCATAATGAAGTCGGTCATGTCCAATCCATCCACTAGGCCTCTCTCTCCAATGTGTCACCACAGCAATGTCTGCAACAGCCCTGCTTCCTAACACATGGCTGTTAAGCAGGAAACCGATTCCTACTGGCTAAGAAGTGTGTGAGAAATGCATTAAAAGACAACTCTTCATCCCCAGCCCAGAAATTCTGCTTTGACAACTTTAGGCTCTGGCCAGGATCTGTGACACAAATAGTCCTTCATAGAGAGTGGGACACATGAGCTTTCTGCAAGGAGAAGACCACCCTGCTGTGTGTCAGCCTTCCTCATAGGAACCCCAGTTCTTAATCCTGTCTTACTGACTCTTCACTCTGACCACCCAAGTCCCCGCCCCAGGTCAGAGCCACACTTTGAGATTTCTCTGAGATGGTCAGGACCCGGGGCCTGTCCATTCCTTTCATTGTCTGTATATTATTAGTACGTTGGTTATAACCATATCACACTGAACCAGTAGGAGCCTCTGTGCCCCAAACGGAAAATTAATTAAGTTTAAGGCTTCGGGTTACATAAAACAAATTAAGTCTCTGCTTCACCAATTTATGTCTCTAAACCTTGACTCTCAGTTTACTTAGGATATGAGATCTTTGAGTAAAACAGAATATACCTTAAAGAATGGAAACCATGTGGATATGAGATTACATGAACCGATTCAACTTTGGAACTAGGTCAAAAATAAGGTTTTTAACCCCCATGCGTGGGAGAACTCCAGGCCGTTGAATTATTCATGCTACCGTACACGCCACTGTTTTAAATAAGATGACTGAACGTTGGTTTGGAAGGTCATTACACCCAGGAAAAATGCAAATGGGTTTTTCTTCTTTTTAATTGTCACAGCCCGAGAATCGCCCCCACGTGGAAATTAAATGGAAGCAGGTTCCATCCCCAGTGGGGAGACCAGCTCCTCTACTGACACCTCTTCTCAGATGTAGATTGGGAACCTGTTCCCCAGGGCAACCTCTTCCCCACGGAGACCCCTCCCCACCAACGCTTGATGGGTGAGGAAGAGATTGGAGATACTATTTAAAGCACGTTCTAATCTTCGAATAATAAGGCGTCTCTTTCTCGGAGAGGGTGGAATTGGGGGCAAAGCTCAATTAGCCTAGAAAATGTCCCCTCAGTCTGACCATTGAGCTTGAGCAGTCCCTCGGGAATCACTCCTGGGAGTCTCCTGGGGGCCCAGGGGGCACTGGGACTTGCCTAGGGCTGCCAGCTATTTAGTGATGAGTGGGTGTTTGACTCCCTTCTGGTCCCCAGCCTGATGTTCCCTTCTCTGTACCTCTGGTCTAACATTAGCAAGCCGAGCAGGACACACAGCAGTTCTGAGCAGGAGTCAGGTTGGCCCCTGCAGAACACTATGGGAGACAGCCTCACTGTCTGGCCATACATCCCCTCCTGTCCTGCACTCCTGTCCTAAGCCAGGAACTCCCTTCCTCCGGCTGCTACCCCGACTATGGGTCTACCAGGTGCACAGTAACCTTGGGCAAAGTCAGAAGACTCTCCTGCTCTTGGAACCCCAGGCAGGGGTGGAGATACAGGTCTACAGATACCTCAGGCTGGGGAAGGACTTCAGCCCCCAAGCTCCAACCGCTGTTCCCATCCAGAAGAGCAACAACAAGATTTTTGTGTGCACAGCATTGCCCAAGGAACTTGAGGAAATGTAGATTCTTTGGGTATACCCAGCACTTGGGGTACGAGAGGATGTTGGAGAATAACACGTAGCGTTCAGAATGACTGTCTGACCTCCTCCCCACACCCAGCAAGAATCCCTCTGATGATCAGAGTAGCAATGAGCTACTGGCTTGGTTCTCATGGGACCTGAGCCGTCCCTAGGACAAGGTGTGCTCTGAACATTCCTGCCATGCCCCTACGGACCCACAGACATACTCTGTAGACAGAATAATTTTTCTCATCTCTGAGCTTGTGACTGTCGCCTTGCATAGAAGGGTGTTTGCAGCTGGGACTAACAGGGAAGACCACCTCGTGCCTTCTACTTGCTGCCCCGGCCTTCCGGTCAGGAGCAAGATGTGAAGCTGACCCGACTGGAATCCAGGGGTCCATGGGCAGACAGGCTGCGAGGCACTGTGCTGGGAGGACAGAACTGGCGCCTGGGAGCACTGCCCTGCAGAGAAGAGGAGGCACTCCACAGCTGTCCACTAAACCTCTGCTCACCTGGGTGCTTACTGCTGACACTTCTCTTCAAAGGAGGAAGCTCAGAGGAATAAGGCCTTGAATTACTTGTCCCCACCGTGAGCAACAAAAATCTCAATGACACTGTATTCCCAGGGTCAGTGTGGACAGAACCCCACCCCAGAATACATATAGTTCTGAGCTGAAGCGTTGTCAGGAGGCACCAACACATGGGAGCATTCTAACTGCTTCCTTACTACCGCCTCACCTGCCCCCGCTTGTCTCCACACCTGCCCTCACCTGCCTTCTCATCTGCCCCCACCTGCATTCTCACTTGCCCCCACCTGCCTT